ATTTGCTTTCTGTATTTTTATACATGTTGATAGATCTCATTATGCATAGTGTGCTCAGTCGGTAATCCTCGGCTTACTCCGCTACACTCATTCAAAAATGGTATACGAGCCATCCGAGGAGTTCCGATTGATATATGTACGCCATAGACCTCCCCCCTCCCCCCAAAATTTCAATAAACTAAAGTAAGAAATTAATGATGCTTATGGGATATTATTCACAAAACGTAGTTAAAAGTAAAATAAATCCTAAGTTTTCTTTCCTATAGTCAGGATGTTAGGGTTGGTAAATCTAAAAATAAAATTGTCATCAAAATTTTTTTTATTCTTGATTGAAAAAAAAAAAAAATAAAATCATATGCAGTAAACAGACAGATATAGAAAGCAACTTCATTTGTGGGAAAGGGCTTTATAAAAGGTTTTTTACAGAGGTCAAAAAGGGGGCCATCAGACAAAATTATAAAGAGTTCACAAAAATAAGAGCTCGTAATAAATATCATCGTCGCAAGCCACGGCTTTTGTGTGCATTTTATTTACACGGGGAAATAAGATGGACACAAAACCCGTGGCTTGCGACGAGGTTTGAAATAAAATCTACAAAACTTTACTGATGATGCGACTTTCAAGAAAATGATCCAGTACTTCATTCTTCAATCAAATATATGAGCGATGATTTTTTAAAGAAGGATGGGTGGGGTGGGGATATGGTGTACGTATCAATGATTTCAAAGTGGTTATGATCGAACTAAAAAAGAAATTAATAGTAAATTAAATGCGTAAAAACGAAAATGAACAAGCAAAATCGAAACGAAAAATAAATTAATTTAAAAACATTAAGAGAGAATAAAGAAAAAAATCGGAATTCACCCTTGAGAGGTTTCCCTTTCTGTAGTAATAAAAACGAGCACATCCAAAAAAAAATGGTGAGGGGGGGGTAATTAAAACTTTTAAATACAATATTATGTAAGATTATAAACTTAAGATGTGCTCATATCTATAGTCCGGAACAACTGCTTTTTGCTGAAATAAGATTATAGTAATCAGAAAATAAAACGAATGACCTACATGCGTCTGATTCAATATATCTGACCTATTTCGCTCTTAATTTTCGACTCTAAACACCTTAAGTTACCATTTTTAGTTTTAATTTATTGCAATTAATTTAGGCAATGAAAACAAGACCACAAATTAGTTAAGAAAATGACCACTGTTTATTATCTTTACATTTTATTGCGTAATACAGTTAAATTTTTAAACCTGAGTGTTGCGCCAAAGGTGACGCGTTAATTTTAGTTAGTAAAATATACGGAAGTCCGCATGGCTTTTGCCGCTACATCTTTTATGACATGGCTACGTACAAAGTTTCTTATCTGGTGCATTCAATTTTTTTTCTTAATTAATATGAATTGACAAAATGCTATTGCAACTACATCTATCCTAGAATCAGTGAACTTGATTCGAATATTTAATAGGATGACAAACTCTGGGCACTTCGGGTTTCTCTGTCTAATGGAGAAACAATATGGAATGTGTTACATGTAACAACCCCCCCCCCAAAAAAAAAAAATCAACAGAAAAAAAACATTGAAATAAATGCTTGGACCAGTTGCTTATATGTAGAGACTGGAGCTCTGTCGGAAAGGCCATGGAAGCGATTGTTTTCAGAGCTAAACGAGGTAGACACGTACATTGATTTGTTGATGAATATTTTTGACAGCTCACGAATAAATCAAACCATTTCTTGAAAAATAAAAAAAAAATTAATCAGTTTATATATTTTTTTGAAAAATATTACCAGTAAACATAAAAATTGACGACATTGAACATTTTTTCAAGACAGTATTAGGCGTGTCTATTTTTTCTAAATATGTAAATAACGCAATAATATTTTTGTTTTGCTTTATCGTATAATTTTTTTCATCGGCAAACGTACAGACGAGACGTCACGTCTTTGAAGCGCTATTGTGACGTAATTACGTTTATGTTACAAAGGTCCCTTTTCGCTTGACGCAACTCATATATTATTTTTTTTTGCTTGAAACTTTAAAACTGCAAACAATTTTAAGGAATTTCGAAATAAAAAAAGAAGAAGAAATAATGATTTAAAAACGTTAACCCCACGCTGCGGTCACAAAGTTGAAATTTGTATAAAGCAGTTAGGGAAACAAATGATGAACTGTTAAGACTTATGTATATGTACGTTTTATGTATATGTCTGTTCACAGTCTTTTCTTTAATCTCATAAAGTAAACACGAAAACAGGATGGAATTATATCAAATCAAAATTAAAATCAAATGAAAACATATTGATCGATGTGTACTACTAATTTTAAATTGATATGTCTATTAATACCACTTAAACATTCATAGTTAGTTGTGATGCGTGTACCTAAGCAATTGATTAAAAGCTTTGTTAAAAGTGTTTGTTTCAAATAGGTTTAAGAAACTCTGGTTGTTATGCCTGGTTGCAATGTTTAACTACATTTCTTAAAAACTGCAATATTTTGCAAAGAAACACAAAACCAACCGTTGTTCATTATAGAATCGGACCATAATATTTAATATAATATTCAGCTAATCGATGTCTGATTTCAAACTACAGCACTATGTCATTGTGTTTAAATGCGAAATGAATCCTTAGAAGCAAGGATTTTTGCGCTAAAATGCAAAGAGTATTGCGTTTAAACGCAAAACATGGTGCGAATAAAGGCAAATAATCATTGCGATTAAACGCAAAAATATTATTGCGTTCAAACGCGAAAAGTATTGCGTTTATTCGCAAAATTATTGCATTTAAACAGAATTGTTTGCAATTTAGCGTTTTTTTTTATTTTTTTTTGCGATTACGCGCAAAAAATTTCCGCGATTTATTGCAATGTTTTGCGTTTAAATGCAATATTTATTTAGATTAAAACAAATACTGTGCATTTAAAACAATGATTATTGCGATTAAACGCAATACAAATATTTCTTTCTCTGAACTGGCCTCAACGGGCTTCCGTAGCTACTGACTTTTTATATTTTCTTGTATAAAATGTGTTATGTGTAAATTAGTTATTTCCTTGATAAAGGCACTTTGGGAAAAAAAATGTGCAATGTTTTTTAGATATTTATAATTATTTAACTGATAATAAAGCAGAAATACGCGATTTCAATGTGTATATAGTATGTATAAGACTGTACTTCCTTTTGATATGGCAAAAAGAACACACATACCTGTTTCATATGATTAACATATGATTTCCAATTTCAATGATTCTCATATGTGAATGACTTGAAACACACTAAATATTTTCATATGTAAATCATATGAAGTTTTTTTTATACGTTATTTGTACTAATTTCTTCATAAGATTCACATATGATGCGGTTTTTTTTTTATGATTCTCCTATAGATTCAATCATTTGATTCAAATATGATACACATTCATGGATCATATTCGGTAAAGTTGCCTGTGTAGGACGCCAAGGATTGGCCCAGTCTGCTGCAATCCGGGGATCATTGAATTACGCACTATATCGAGTACCCACTCAGAGTATTTCACTATCTATTTTTCTTAAATGACAAATGACTTACCTTTGAGCTTCATGTTATAAAAGCAATGTTTACATTATTGTTAAAACAATTATTTTGACCGTTAGTCTGGTATATATCTGTAAACAAAAGTGCAATTAAACTCATACAGTCATTTAACTTAAAGGTGTTTGGAATCACCACAATGATAACATTGAAACGATTAGGAGAAGATATGTTTTTATGTCTTCAATGCTGGGAAATGCTGTTTAATTCTTAATTCCTCGGAATACATGTTTAAATAACACTCTGAAGGTCAGGAAGCAAAGTATAAACTTATCATTAACAACTGAAATTCACATTGGCCAACGAACGTCAGAATAACAACAAAGATGTTAAAAAAAATAACAACAGGAAAGTTAAATTATTAAAATTATCAATACATAATGGAATTTTATGATCAAAATATTATATATGGCTCTTTTATTACTTAAAACGGCAATGCTGAAATTCAATTCTTCCAGTAGCATGATGCCATTTCCGGTAGCATTGACCTCATTATAAAACAGCATCGGAATAAGCATAACTAGCATTAAATCAGCAAGCGAAGCAAGCATAGAAATCAGCATTGATGGTGTAACAAAATCAGTTTCCTGCACTGAATAAAAAGTATTTCATCCAGAAAGCAGTTTTAACGAATGTATACCGGATAATTTTGACTTAATTGTGGTTAATAGGACCGAAGGTAGAGGAAAGGTAGACTAATGGCATTTGGATATTAAGTAACTATAACAAAGCTCAAATGATGACTCGATGGTGAATTATAGATTTCTAAAAGCCCACTTTTGGCACGTATTGGTCATCCTAAATCTACAATTAAGCTTTTAGGCGCTCATTTCAGATTTAAAGATAACTGGATGGAAGCTAAGAGAATTTGTTTAATTTTTCTTAAACATGTCCAATAAACCAACTTGAAGTGTCCTAAGAAGGCTAAAGCCAAGCTTAAGCTTTAAACTGTGAATGACTTTATAGGACCACAAATTTTGCAAATAAGTCACATAAAAACAATGTAATATCTATCTAGGGACATGCTGAATTTTGTTGTATACTGTGTTTGAAGGGAGGTGATAAGTGTCTTGATTTCCAAGCACTTCGACAGAAACAAACCTGTATGCCTTGATGTGTTGAATTTTGTGCTTAAATTGCTACTTGTATACAATGACTGAACAGGAAACCTAAAGTGTGACTACTCAGGTTTATTCATTTTTGGTAAGGATATGTAGTAAAAAGAATATTGTAGTAAACCCTATAAATTTAAGGAAAAAGAGAACAACTATTCAATTGAAACAAAACTGTATATTTTTTATACACTAAATTGTGAACGATAGTTAAAGAACATGTCTATTCTCTCTCTCTCTCTCTCTCTCTCTCTCTCTCTCTCTCTCTCTTTCTCTCTCTCCTACACATTAATAGTTCACTTTTTACCTACCCAGGGTCCCGGTAGCTGGTCCTCCAAGGAAAAGTCTGTATTTGTTGGTTTCATCAGCAACAGAGAATTGGTTGTATAATTCATAGAGCTTTGTCCCATTAGTCAGTGTGATAGAGACGTAGAGGAAAGGGTTCCTTCCCTTTGTAAGCTGATGAATCACGTCATTGCCTTCAATACCGTTATAAATTTGTGGGGTTATGTAAATTATTTATACATGAATATTGGTTTATTCAAATCTCATTTAATTGTGATATGACCAAATAGAACCAAAAATATGTTTTGTTTCTTAGTGAGTAAAAAAAACTGTGCAATGTTTCACAATTGTATTGAGTAGATACGATAATATATAATGAATAATGTGTTAAAAACGAAAAATCTTGATAAGTGAGTATTCCTTGTGATATCAGTAAGTGCTAAAATAAAAATTCCAAAGGAAATTGCATAACTCATTAAGATAAATTAATAAGCATTTACCAATCCAATACGTGCCATAAGGATTCCCGAAACCTTTTTTATACTCCGCCCATATTTTGTTAAAAGTCACAGCCCCACTCATTCGTTTCTGGATTGCCTAGATATTGACAGAAATAGAAATAACATTTGAGTCTGATAGATTAAATGTAACGACATAATTGTTTGTCGAAAATATTTTTTTCTATTTGTTTCATTGGAAAAATCTACACGAGAGAGAGAGAGAGAGAGAGAGAGAGAGAGAGAGAGAGAGAGAGAGAGAGAGAGAGAGAGAGAGAGAGAGAGAGAGAGAGAGAGAGAGAGAGAGAGAGAGAGAGAGAGAGAGAGAGAGAGAGAGAGAGAGAAAGAGAGAGATAGAGAGAAAGAGAAAGAGAGAGAGAGAGAGAGAGAGAGAGAGAGAGAGAGAGAGATCTTACTGTCCACCCTCCGCCTTCTGTTACCATGTCGCAGAACACGCTGACCTGGGTATTGTTTCCAAAGGGATTTATTTCATAAATACCAGATTGTGTTTGTCCATTTACATAAAGGTCCTTACAGTCTTTATTTAGTTTTGAACCTATGTGGAGTTGAAAAAATCATGATATTATATAGAAGAGAAAAGGAACTGGTCTTATGAGAGATTGAAGATATCCTTTCAAATCCTTCTCATTATATATATTAGACTTAATTGATCATCACGATTGTAATTGTTGCAATGCATTGACACCTAAAGAATATTCTTAATATACATTCTGCTATTTTTGTCAGGTAAAATATTTATATTTGCATATATCCTCTCTTTTTTATGGCCCATTCCTGTCAGTGCTGGAAATTTAACTTACTTATTACCAGCTGCTCGTTGTCAACACTTGAAAGGTAATTTTCTTAGTCTATTAAATGTTTGTATTGTCCAAGTTATAAACTTAAGTAATTTTTTTTATATTTTTGAAAGAAAGGTTTTTTAAACTATGAAAATGAAGTTTTGGGCTCAATAAACTTATTTTTTTTATTTGTGATGTGGGGAAATATAAAATTATTTTGCCTCAGTGTCAAATTGTATTCTGATATTGTATATATATGTTTTTACATATGTAGATCTGCCATTTCTTTTAAATTTTCTAATGATTTAATTTTGGTTGTAACGCTTTATTTCATTGGGAAAAAAAAACACTTTATATCGTATAAAATGGGTTGCCTACGGCACAATGACTTGCATCAAAAACGTGTCAATCTGTCTGACGTTATATTTAAATTTTGTACAAATTGAAGCTATTTTGTTAGAACAATCATCTTTTTTTTTCTTACTTCAAACGAAAAGAAAAGAGAAAAAAAAATATTCGAATGCCTTTAAGTCTCAGCGTAAATATTCCTTTATTTACATCCTACTGACTCTTCAATTAAATTTTTGAATCATTTATACTAACATAAGCCCATGCGTATTTGTGAGCTATATTTTTCTTTTCTATTAAAAACAGCAGTGCATTATAATATATATAAACAAAGATATTACTCTGTCTTGAATTATTAAAACATTTAACGTCATTCCTTCTTTTAAAAAAATATATATCTGTCTCTCCGTAGATGCTTTTTTTCTGGATAGAAAATAATGATCAATGTCAATAAATTATAACTATTGATGGGTACATTGTAGATTTGCATGAGTTTCTGACCCTTGTTAAAATATTCCCTATCAATTGCAACGATAAGTTATATTTTCTAATATAGTCATAATAACTACGATAGAATGTGCAAAATGCTGACATCAAATGAGATTGTTGAAATTCCTGTAAACATCAGCTTATTTTTCAATAACCTGCCTCGCTTTATAATTTAACTACTCTGATCATGTTATTAAGTACTGAATAAGTTGGTAGATCTAAACACATTACACGAAGTTGATAGTGAAATGTTTTTATACAAATAAGGAAATAATGCAAAAAAAACCTATAGTCATCTATTTCGTCATACAGTTTAGTTGTTAGTTTGCACTTGTTGTCTAAAGTAGGTTAAACATCTAATTTGACAGACTTTGTTTTGTCTTTAACTTCACGATCGCTAGGGTAAATCAATTTTGAATGTAAGTAACATTTGACAATTGAAAATACGTCTTCAATATATCTAAATGTTGAGATTAGGCCATAGCAAGTTTGATTTCTTCTTTCCCTGAAGACAATTTAAGGAAATTCTGCCTCATAGAGTGACATAAAAAATCAGCTTATTAAAGAACACGACATGTTCCCATCAAAATTCCAACAGTTTGTGTAATATGTTGAAGATGCGACTGTTATGGCAAGCGCAGATATTTCTTTTGTTACACTTTAGATCGGGCTCGTAAAAACCGCACGTGCCATTTGATGCGTCTAAACTCTGAGTCTAACGTCGTATGAAGTTGTATGTAAGTTGCATTACCAAAAAAAAAAAAAGAAGAAGCCTGAACATTGCTGGAAGGAAATCAACAAGATTTTATTTACTATTTATCTTCAATATTTATCCATCATGACATGTTTACTTTTAGTAGAAGTTTTGCTGCTATTCTGGCGAGATCATACATTAACAACTGATGCATTGTGGGTCAAAATTATTGCGTAAAAATTCTATCGAATGAATATGCAGTAGTCCGAATTTTCTGTTCACACAATCGTTGCTTTAAGGGCTGGGACTGAGGAGCGACGCTTTCTGCGCTCGCTATGACCAGGTCTTAAAAAATGGTCTTAATGTTTTCAGTAAGAAACTCCAGCTTTATTTTAATGTCAGATTCAAAGCTCTGATGGGCAGAGACATTTCATGTTCTATATTAGTAATTTCCTTTTTTTATACTCAGAACACAATATTTATATAGGGTCCGTGTTTGCTATGGTCTTATTTTGTTTTGTTTTATGGACTTTGAGACTGAATGCTGTTCGTTATATCCATATCCTTCTCAGATGAGAAATTTAGTTGCTATGCACCAAAACCAGTGCTCAAAATTACTCAACCGTAAAATGTATGACGTCACGTAGGTAAACGTTAAAAAGCCCAAAACATGCGCAATTTGATGAAGGCGAATTTGACAAAAAGAATTCTTGTTCCATCTGATGCATCTGAGGTATACACATCGTTTTTCAATATTTGGAGACGATATGCATTTCTTTCAATCTTGGTTCAGTTTACGGAAGTTTCATTGGGTCTAGTTTAAATTGTCTTATTAATGAAAAGGGTAAAAACAAGTTACTACGCAGTTTCTTGTGAAGTTTTCCCCATAAAACTTGTTACCCGTTGTCAGAGAGGGCCTGAAATGGTTTTCAGTCAACTGTGACGAGATGTTAACGCGAAACAGAGTCATATTATGAGCGGGTTATTCGTCTCGTCATCTTTTAAATCCCCACCTTAATTGTGACAGGTCGGCAAATTATGTTTTGTATTGTTTAATGGTATTGTTTAATGTTCTTTAAAGCTTGAACACTATTCGATACCCTCATATATCTCATCTAAATCAAAGTTGCGTTTGAATAAAGATGTGCCAAGATCAAGTAAAGTCTGGCTTGTTAACAAAGACATGAATACCGTCCAATAAACCTATTCTAACAATAACTACAAAGTTTTCAAAACAGGTTTGTATTTGTTTTGATTTAAATATCATTAGGGACAATTGATCAATTACTGAATGTACTCATTATTCCATAATTATTGGGAACAAGGCATTTATTTTATCATTTTTGATCGTTCGGAAGATCAAGACCTAACCATATGCAACTTGAATGATTAATAAATTTTTAATCGTCGGCTGTATGGTGTCTAGGTATATGATTTACTTGAGTAACAAAGTGAATCCATGAATGACAATGGATCAGTGATATTATGCACATAATGTCATGAAAGACAATATATGCCAACACATAAGTTTGTTCAAATAAAATGTTTGTAATCTTAAGTATACATACTGTTTGAGGTCAGGTTGGTCAGCAATTCCTTAATTTCCCCATAACCCCGCCGCAGTTCATCTACGTATTGTTGTTGAAGTTTACTTGTCGTCGTAAGGTTGGTCACCAAATCTCTGAGCTCCACATTTTCCTTCCCTAGTTCATTTACGTCTTGTTGTTGAAGTTTACTTGTCGCCGTAAGGTTGGTCACCAAATCTCTGAGTTCCACATTTTCTTTCCTCAGTTCATGTACGTCTTGTAGTTGAAGTTTACTTAACCTCGTAAGGTTGGTCATCAAACCGATGAGTTCCACATTTTCTTTCCTTAGTTCATGTACGTCTTGTAGTTGAAGTTTACTTGTCGCCGTAAGGTTGGTCACCCAATCTCTGAGTTCGACATTTTCCTTCCTTAGTTCATGTACGTCTTGTAGTTGAAGTTTACTTGTCACCGTAAGGTTGGTCACCGAATATCTGAGCTCCACATTTTCCTTCATTACTTCCTGTACGTCTTGTTGTTGAAGTTTACTTGTCGTCGTAAGGTTGGTCACCGATTCTCTGATTTCAACATTTTCCTTCATTACTTCCTGTACATCTTGTTGTTGAAGTTTACTTGTCGTCGTAAGGTTGGTCACTAAATCTCTGAGTTCCACATTTTCCTTCCTTAGTTCATGTACGTCTTGTTTTTGAAGTTTACTTGTCGTCGTAAGGTTGGTAACCAAATCTCTGAGTTCCACATTTTCCATTTTTTGTTCATGTACCTCTTGTTGTTGAAGTTTACTTGTCGTAGTAAGGTTGGTCACCAAATATTTTAGCTCCATATTTTCCTTCCTTAGTTCATTTACGTCTTGTTGAATATTACTTGCTGAGGTAAGGTTGGTGACCAAATCTGTGAGTTTCACATTTTCCCTCTTTAGATCATCTACTTCATGCTGAAGCCTACTAAATAAAGTTAGATTGGTCTGCATATCTCGGACTTCAAAGCTTTCTAGTCGTAGTTGATGTACTTCTCGCTGATTCTTTCTTAGCTCGTCCAGGAGTGTAGAAATTGTTTCAGTATTCTCTTCTTTACTGCTGCAGTCATTTCGTTCATTCAAAAAAATATACTGGGAACTAGCACATATGAAGCCGGACATGAAGAAAACTCCCCACTCTTTTGCCATGATTCAATTTTCGTGTTCTCTTTATTCAAACATTACTTGAATATATTCCAAAGTTTAATTACCTGCGGAGCAGGAAGTGTGTTGCTCTATTCTAGACAAAAACATCGTTTGATTGTGATTTAGATAAACCAGAACGATACATTCAATTGAAACTATTTAAAGTCTTTTGAGTAGACTAAAAATATACATGCATGAATAGTACATTCTTATTAGGGTCTTCCGCCTCCAACAGAAACCCTTCTATTATTCTATTTTTTTTTCTTTTTCACTTTTGTTATTCTTCCCTTTTTTTCTTACAATTCCTAAGAGATGGCTCGATCGATTAACTTGAAATTTTCAGGAAAGGTGTGGTGTCAACTGAACCTGATCCATTTTTTCCAATTTTCTTCGAAATTCACTTTCGGTCGGAAGTTATTGCCCTTTAATCGAAATTTAGAGGACCTCCTTGCCTGCACCAGAACGGCTTAAGCTAGAACACTGCAATTTTTACCAAAGATAGAGGACATGTGGCCAATGCGCACAATGGTTCTCGAATTTTTCTAGTACCTAGTATGGAAGCTCGATAGGAGTCGAAATATAGGACACGAATCATGACTGATTTTTGAAGACATTTTGCATCATAACTTTTAAAGTATATTTATTTTGATAAAACAAATTGAGCAATATTTATGCAATATGACAAGATCTTTAACAAGATATCAACAACTTTTTAGATTCCTTTTCGTTTTCGAGTTGTTTTCATAAGAAATATTTAGGGGCCAACCCTTCAACTCTTAAAGATTACGTTTAGCGAAAAGTCCAAACCTACGTCGATACGGTATATCCTGGTGAGTTTAAGATAAAAGATACCACAGAGTTCGAGACTTTGCTTCATATTTCGATATTTTACTTGAAAAAGACACTAATGGTAATTTAACAACCAAGCTATATGATAAATGTGATGATTTTATCATTTCTATCGTCAACTTCCCTTAGTTATGCAGCAATATACCTTCATCACCTGTATACGGAGTATATATATCTCAGTTGATTCGATACGCAATAGCATGCTCTATCTACGTATGAGCAATTTCTTAAACGAGGTAAATTATTGACAAGTTGATGAAACAAGAATATCAGCAGTCTCATTTTAAGTCATCATCAAGTTCTGTGGTCGATGCAATGACTTTGTCAGCAAATACAATTTATCATTGAGTCAAATGCTGACTGACGTTTTTCATACCAGTTGTTAGTCAATCATTTATTCAATGAATTGACGACGTGGAAAGTAGTATTAACGGTCTAGATAGTGCGGAAGTGACGTCATAACCAGAAGTGGCCGGAAGTGGGTTAACCGGAAGTGGGGTAACTGGACGAGGTCTAGCCGGAAGCGGAAGTGGTATTCCTGAGCCCTTATTGGTCTAGCGGAAGCGGAAGTGGGCCCCTAGCGGAAGCGGAAGTGGTTTATCCATAAACGTCCCTAGCCGGAGGCAGGCTGGATAGCCTGGTCAATATCTAGGACATTATGCAAATGAGGTAAAAAAAAAAAATGGCGTATTCTGATTGGCTGGGAGGATAAGGGGGTCAACTCAGTACAATCTTTGGGGGATAGGTGGGTCAATTCATTACACACCCCCTATGTCTTATACGGGGTGTTTACACTGTGTTTACATTATACACTACGTTGGTACTAAGATTTTTTGGCAGCGACTCAAAAAAGAATGTAATTATGACGTCACGCATTCATTCACAGTCTAGACAGCCTAAACCGGTTCAAACTGGTTTTTTACTGAAAGACAATAACAAACCTGGATTTTCTGAAAAACAAGAACACTAACAAAAGACAAATTAGAACAAGAAGACAGATTTTATTCAGAATTAAAATATATACAGAATTTTCCTCTTGTGGGTGGACTCTCCTCATTTTGACTTTTGTTTCTAAGAAGTGAACTTTCATTCTCAGAAAATGTAGGACTTTTTTTTTTGTTTTTCCTCTCTTTTTCTATGATGATTTTCCTGCTGTGAAACTTTTCTTGTATAAAGCTCAATTTCTCTATGATCACGGAAGTAAACATTCTGATGCATTTTTGTCATGTGCATGTTTAGACCACTTTCATTTTTGAAATCTCCTTTCTGACAGACATATTTCACAGGTAAGTTTGTCTTATTTTTGTTAACATTTCCTATGAAGGTCGTCTTTGCATTTAACCATGATTTATATGTAAAGATCTATTTTGAGTGTAAATGCTGTATTTATCCCCATTTCATGTGATTAACAGTTTCTGTATGAATTTTAAAGGCGGATTCCGCCTGTAATTAGGGTGGAATTGAGCACTAATTGGCTAATTCCGGGCGTACTTGAGGCGGAGACGGAATTTTCAAAGAGTTACGCCTCAGTAGAAGAGATGTCTTACAGGCGTCATTTGTAATTTCCGGGCGTCAATTGGCAAGTTCAAATTTTCCGGGCGTAAAATGGCAGGAAAATAGAAACAAAAATTATGCTTGGAACTTTCATGAGAAGTAAAAGCCTCTGATTGGTCAATTTAATTATCAATTAAAGGTCATTTCAGATAGGAGGTTAAGTTTGAATTTGATCATGAAGGAGGGAGTTTAGTGTGAGTGAAACACTAGAAATGCAGATATCTCATTGTTGAGGCTTTTGCACTTCTTGAGGATGACACAGTGTCTGCTGTTAGGTGTGATCATGAATATCTAGTACCTATTTGAGTAAATTTGATTATGATTATGTACAATGATCATAAGTTATAACTGCATGGTTGACCCTAAAATTACTTTAGATATTTGAGTTTGTCCTTGCACACATTCTGAGAAATATCAGTCTGATAGAGGCTGCAGTGAGAATCTAACTGTAAACTGCTGAGTAAATGAAGAATTGTATGCTGAGTCAGTAACTAAAATGTTTCAATATAATTATTAAAGTGATAAAATGTACAGGTATATTGTAAAAAAGTTTAATTCTAAATACACACTCAATCATGGTGGTCGTGTTTTAGTGTCCCTAATACACAAAATTCATGTTATTTTTCTATACTTGTTAATGATATATATGTTAATGACCTGTCATTATGTTTTCTTACAGTTCAAAAAGCTACATTTTTAGCTTTAACATTGTAAATCATAATCTGAATGTTTTTCTTTGTTAGCATGGTAAATATATAGGTTTTTAGGTCACATAGTATTATATAATAATAAGGACATTCCAGGCGTAATTCTATTCCAGGCGTCATTTTAGTTTCCAGGCGTAATTTTTTTACGGGCGTCATTTTTTTTTTCCGGGCGTAATTCATTTGCATTTTTCGCCTCAAATTCCTGCCCATTTACGCTTGGTTTCCGCCTAAGTAACGCCCGGAACCTGTGTATCACCATATATGTAGAGAGACAAATTGACGCCTCTCCAAGTACGCCTCATATAAGCACACCCTTATTTAACCTAAAATATATTAACACATGATTAAGGGATCTTCAGAATATTATTAAGTCCTCTTGTATAAATCATGATATAGTTTCATAATTCATTATGTATGTTACCCATGGAATTCAGACTTACTAAATGGTGATCAAAGAGATATTAATTAGGAATCTAATAAGAGAAAAGAAGGAATTTACAAAAGATTAATTGTTAGTCATTTACTTTTGTTTTGATTCTAAATATGTGTGATATATGGTATACATATCATTTTCACTTTTGTTTCTTAGTAATAAGCTTTCCAAAAAATGAAGGACTACATGTTGTACTGTGATGATGCTAAAAAAATGTACTTTTCTGTATGCAGTACTGACAGTTATTAAACTAAATTGAATCTGCCGTTAATAAAAAGTCTTTTAGTGTCTAAATAATTAATTTGATAATCATTTTATTTGTGATATTAATACAGTAATTGTGCTTTTTTTTATTATCTTAAGATAACATGACGAACTTTTCTCATCTGGAGTTATTGTTAAAAACAATTTTTGAGATTAAAAACAAATATTTTCATGATCTTTTTTTTGACATTGTAGATGTTGTATTTAAATATGCATTGTTTCATGCAGTACTCTGTCATATTAACAAAATGGTTTTATTTCTACAGTCATCAACATGGAAGATATGGTTTGTTCCTAACCATCTATAATCAATTCTCTATGAAGTTCAGACTGTCTGCTGTTCCTTTGGAAATACACAGTTAGTCAACCATCATAGAAACACATAAACTTGAAGGTGAAGATTCAATGAGATACAATTGTAATTTTTATTTATTTATTTTACATATGCATGTTTATATTTTCGAATTGATAAGTAAATGATATATAATTTTTTTAAAATAAAGAGGGCTTGGTGGTCATGGTCATGTTTTGACTATATTGATCTCCTTTAGAAGAAGAAGAGCTCCATATAAATATATACAAAAATGCATGATTGAATTTTGAAACTATAATGAATATATATATATATATATTTTTTTTTTTTGCCAAATAATAGTGAACAGCTGAAGATAGCATATCTATAGAATAGATTACACTTTATTCATAAAAAGTACTTTCAATATCATTTCTATGAGTTTGTATTCTTTCTTTTAAATAATGTAGTAATGAATTCAAGTGTTATATCTCCTTTAAATAGATCTGTCTGTATAGTTTCTTCATCTCTTTGAACACAAATACCCTGATTCAAACTTTTGAGGTAAACATCATAGAGACATCATAGATGATTATCAGAGTGTGTATTACAATCTTGACCATAAGGTCAATTTAAATGGACTAAGGCACAACAAATGAAAGTGAAAACTTTTTTTTTAAAAATCAGAATACATAATTTTATAATAAACAAATACTGAAAAGTTACTCTCATAATAAGCCTTAATGTCCTTTAAGAGTTCAGTTTGGACTTCCTCCTTTAATCCTTGTATCTTCTCCAATGGTTTTGTGGGCTAAAAATCGTGTCTGTAACAATCTTTTTTCTGACAACTGTTTTCTCTTATCATCTTTAAACTTGACTTCTTCTCTTGTTAAACGTCTTTCAGGGAAATCCAGTAATTCTTATCCTCTTTTGGTAATAAATGGTTATATTCCTCATTGACTTCTTTTGCAATCAAGGGTCTTTCTATGTAATCTCTGACAACATTAGGATCACCCTTTTCTGGACATAATTGATTATATTCTTGTTGAGAAATGATCTCAATAGTGCCATCTTTTTTATTTTAACTGGTATACCTCTGTCTATATCTTTCTCTGAAAGAACTCTCTTTCCAAACTGATGAATTTTACTCATTCCTTTACTCTTTTCTTTACTGGAGGCGTTACCCATGGTTAATATGAAAAGTCAAAATCTGATGTTACACCTTGTATTTATACCTTTTTTGTCTATATTTAGAATTCCATCAATCTTATATTATATAACTTTTTTTTTCAACTAAGACATTTTTTTTTATTTTTCAGGATTCTCTAGTGAGGGCTTATGGAAATGATCTATGTCTACTCTCAGAATGGTGAAAGACTATCAGATTATGCAAAGACTAACAGAATATCCTCTCTTGGAACACTGAAACAAGAAAACCAAACTTAAGAAGATGGAGGATTTAAGAAGAACAGAGATAAATATGATTTCCAACTAATTTAACCAGTACGGTCATAGACTGTGGTTTACAGGGTGACAAAGAAAGGACCCAGGATTGTATCATTTACTGTCCATGGATAAAGTGTAATCATTTATCAAACTGAGATTTAATCAATCAAGTATTGAAAATATGATTTTCTGATTTTTAGCATGAGCTCTTTAAAAACTAATTCTCACCAACCTCAAAGTATCTTAATGTGACTTTTGTTTTCACCAATTCATATTGAAGACTGTTGTTATGAATGGGAATTATACACATTTAAACCTTTTATTTTTCATCTAATTTTTACAACTCCCTAGAAATTACACAGATATCCAAATATAAAATTAGGATGCTGACAAAAAACACAGCGGCTCTTTCGACACGAAAAATAACATTAAATTGAAAACTACTGCTGATGTTTAAACATTTAAAATGCCTGTCTTAAATATTTTTTTTTTTCAGAATTACTTGTATAACTTCAATTGTCATATTGATAAAAAATTTTTGTTACGTTATTTTCATTTTAACAAAAAATCTTACATTAAATCTGTCCAACTTTATATTGTTACGTCAAAGTCGGGACAGGATTGCTGAAACATTCTGTATCATTATTATAAATTTTATTCTCATTCTTGCATTATGGATACCTTTTATTTAAAATATTCACAGTAGATACATAATAAACATTACAAATACTTTTTTACTCCACTTTTTGCATTATAGATTCGTAATGTATACAATACTCTTATCATTTTCTAAAATATTTAAGCTGAAATAATTGGTTTCCAATATTCTGGATTGCGGTTATTTTTTTTATACATTTTCTTAAGAAAAAATATTTTTTTTTTATTTATAACATAAGTTTAAAAATTGTTTTTATACTTAACAGGCAATAATTTAAATGAAGAGGCA